AACCCAAGATGGCACCTTTCTGGCAATTGGAATTCAACAGCAGCTCTGAGGGAGAAAGCCGGGCAATTTCCTCTTATGTAATATATAGCCTCAGAAAACCACTAAGTCAGCTAACAGTGGACTCCAACTTGATAGCATTGAGATTGAGAATTACTAACAAAGGAAACCTAGTGGTATACATGTTGGGCTGCTAACCATAAAGATGGTGGTTTAAATCCACTGGTCATTTCACATGAGGAAGGTGGACAGTCTCCTCACATTAAGAATTACAGCCATGGATGTATGATGGAGGGTCACTGAGAGTCAGAATCAACTCAAAGGCAGTAAGTTTGCTCTTTTATTTGTTTAATTTTTAAAATTCCTAAATTATGAGAATGGTCAAGATAGGGTAAGATTCTGATCTATTATTGTTCATAGGGTCACTATGAGTCAGAGTCGACTCATTGACACTTAAAGACAATAGTAATGATGAGCATATTTTCATGTACTTGCTGACTTGAGTCTTGAGGATGGGAAAGTTTCATTAAACAGTTGGAAGGGAAGGGAGCAACGTAAAGGTATGGGAATTGCATGAATTGGATCATGGATGCACATTTTGAGTTGCAAGGAGGGATTGGTTTACTAGTCTTGAAAGGGAAAGGAAGCTTGCATTGTTTTACAAAATTGAGTTAGTGTCATCATTGGATTACACTTCTATATTTTCTCCTAATTTTGAGACCTAAGAATGCTACTTTGCTGCTTTTTGGAATAGCAAATTCTGTGTAGTTTATTTCTTTGAAATACGCAAAGGATCTCCTAAAGCATGCTTTTCACTTAGAGAGGTTCACACATCTACAAACAACGCCTTTAGAGAGGATGAATGAGACAGTGGTGGAAAGTGTACCTGCCTTCTGCTAAGTGACAGGGAATATTCTTTCTAAGAAGTCAGCAGCAACTTGTATCTAGAGGTCAGTGAGGTCTTTTAAAGAATTTTTTTTTCTATTTTTATTTGCTTGAAAGTTTACAAATCATGTTGGTTTTTCATTTAATCATTCATATGCATTTTGTTTTATATCATTAATTACAGTTAATTAATCAATATACTTTATTAACTACATTGTTTAATCAGTCAGTTTACTACCTTTCCATTCACCCAACATCCCATCAACATAGGGATATGATTATTAAAACATATTTTTTATATTTCTTGTGTTAAGTCCTCTGGTGGTGCATTGGTTGAAATGTACTAGTCACTCAGTGGACTAAGGCAGTAGCAGTCCTGGGACAGCCCTGTGTATCCTGGAGTTCTGTTGAATCACGTGGACAGTTCTGCTCCCCCTGTAGGGTCATCCTGAGTTGCAGTCACTCAGTGGCTGTGGATATTTGTTGTTGATGTTGGATGTTGAACTTACTAGCTCTGAATTTTATCTCTTTTTACACTAGTATCACTTTAGTTTTTTCCAAAGGTATTACATATTATTTAATGATATTGTTGATTATAACATCGCAAGCCTTTTCTTCATATTAAAGAAGAGTGGCATGCATTCTCTGGGTTTTGGAGGAATTGCTCTTGTCCTTAATCAGTGCTGATTTCACTCCCTACCATCACAACTGAATAAAGGTTTACCAGTCAATGAACTGGTGAATGGCTTCCTTTGCCTCTGTTACCAGTATAACTGACGAGGAAATTTGGGGACGGGTTCAGAGCTGCTGTACATCGGGTTACTATACATCGCAGGTAACTCAACGGCACATTAACAACAGTAAAATACTGTGACAGGTTTGTAAGAAGGAGTGGCATCCACTTCCTAAACAACATGCCTTCAGAAACTCTATGAACTTTGATAAATGTCCATAGTTGTAGAGAGGCTTCAGGCCTTTTGTTCATAGGGTCTCTATGAGTCATGCTCAATTTGATGGCAGTCAACAACAACAACAGTATATAAGTTTAGTGGTTTTCTTTTCTCCCCTCTACCCAGTCTCCATTTATTCTCAGCAAGAAGTTTGAAACACCAAAGGAAAGGGCAGAATTCTCTTAGTATTCGCAAATGTTCTTTTATAAGTAAAAATGATGTCCTTTAAAGTACTTGAAACACTGAAATATAATTGACTTCCTAAGAATAAAACAAAGGAAAATAAAAACCCAGACAAACAAAAATCCTTAAAGAGCTATCAGTAAGACAAGGGTAGTTGGATTAATCGATAGTTAAATCGTTAAATGAACTATATATTAGCTGAAAGCAGCACTTGTTCTTTGCTGCTGGTGTTGGCTGTTAGACACTGAATAAAACCAAAGCAAGCAAAACCCAAGCCATGGGGTTGAGTCCAATGTGTAGTGTCCTTCCATTGGATTTTTGAAGCTCTAAATAGTGTCTTTTCCCCACAAAATTTTTATTATGATTTGAGTGAAAGTTTACAAAGCACATTTCTTTTTCCGTCCCTTGTGCACATTTTGTTCCATAACTTTAATTAATATTCCATAGCATTAATGACTTCATCAGTGTCAAGAAAACAAAGATGTTCACTACTTGACTGAGACGCAGCATCATGGTGGTGGTTGGTGGTGATGGTGTTATGTGCTGTCAAGTCGCCAGAGACTCATAGCAACCCTATGTACAACAGCCGTAAATGCTGCTCTACCCTGTGTCAGTCTTTTTGTCTCTGATACACTTACCCTGTCACCCTCATCACTGAATCAGTCCATCTCATAGAGGGTCTTCCTGTCCTGCACTGTCCCTCCATCCTCCCAAGCATGATGTCCTTCTCCAAGAACTGATCCCGCCTTGCAGCATGTCCAGAGTATGTCAGATGAAGCTGATTTGAGTCTACCAGAGGCAACTAAAGACAGATCTGGTGTTTGCTTCTGAAAAGTCAGTGCTTGAAAACAATTGTGTACACACAGGATCTCAGAATTGTCTCAGCAGCAAATTGTTTTTGAAGGAGGAGAACGGGCGTATAGAGAACGCATCTGAGAATTCTAGAGAGGTCTCTGGGATTCCTATTGGAATCCCTGTTGTGAGAATGGTGCAGGTTTAGAGCACGGTTCTAGTTTGTAGTTCACAGGGTCATGAGGAGTCAACTCAGCAGCCCCTAACAACAGCCCTTCTTGGTTCAACACAAATTAATGGGAAATGTGTATTTTATTAAGTTGTCCTGTGCTGTTTCATATGATTGTCTTACTACAACCGAAGTGGCCTGTTTTTGTTTCTTTGTTGAGTAAACAGTTATTTAAATGACTTCTTAGAAGTGAAAAAACAAAATAATAGAAACTTAGAAGTGCTGTGTCTGACGGTTTTCACTGTTAGTTACTTCACCTGCTCTGAACAGATGCCTCTCAGAGCTGTGTTGTTGGCAGAAAAGTCAAGCTTTTAGCACAAGATTGAAACTTACAGCTTTCTTAGAATTAAAACCAACCACACATTTTTTATTCTAGAATCTCTAAATGTTTGTCTGGTTTGTAAAATTGACGCACAAGTACTTTCAGACTTGGTTGGTAAGCAGCCAGAGTCCAGTTATTCTAGCTGGAGTTCCCCCTCCAAAACTTAAAACACACATTTGTCATTGTTTCTGTCTATCTGAAGTGATACCCAAGCCACCAGGATTTGTTTCCTTTCAGCAAATGCAGGGGAATTTCAAAATGATATGCAAGGTGTGTATTATAGGAAGGTTGTCATTTTCTTTCTCAGGACTTGGACAAGTGAAATTACTCACTTGATTGTGAACTCCATGGACGTTCTTCCCTGCCAGCAAGCTCAGGGCTCCCTTTGTGGCCTTTGGGCTCTGCAAGAGTGTCAGATGAAATGGTGGAGAATGGCAGTGTGCTATTTTTGCGTGCACCTTTTGTTTCCCATGCCCTCTGCCCTGGGGGGTGGGGAGGAGAATCTATTTCTTTATCCCATGATTCTGATCCCTATGAGCAAGTATTAAAAACCATGGGAAAAACTCTCTCATTTCTCTTTCATACTAATTTTACTGTGCATAATTGATGCCATCAGAGGTTGATCAAGCATAACCACATTGGGAAGCTAAGAACTGTCAGAGCGTAGAAATCATTCTCCAGCTCCTTAATTTTGCACAGAAGGAATATACTGGCAAAACAAGTCAATGAAATATTTTGCATCTTGAAAATGATTTCCTTTTCCAAACGGTTTTCAGGTTTAATGTTAGCTATTTCTGAGTTAATTAATTTATGAAAATGGATGTTCCAAATGTGGTTGTGCGCAGCTGTGTTCATTTTCTGAAGACTCAAAGAACTAAGATATGATGATGTTATAGTTCAATAAAAAGATTTACTAAACGTATCATTAATATGTGCGCTGCTTCTAGCTTCATGTTAGTAAAAAAGCAAAATATGAAAATGTTTATATCAACTCTGGTTGCTGTAGACTCAGAATCGACTATAGCTGAACTCTCAGCAGGTATTTTTGGAGGCTGGGGAGAGGTAATGCCTTTATGTTAGCAGCCCAGCTCCCTACAGATTGCATCACCAGAGTTCCCTGGGTTGTGTGTGTATGGGAGTGTGTGTGTGTACTAATAGAATTGTATGATTGGGGCAAGAGACGTAATATATTTCTATTCAGGCTTAGCCTATGTGAAAATTATCGTCTAGAACCATAAATGAGAAAAACACATAAATTAGAGAATATATAATTAAATGAAATATGCATATATTCTCATATTAATTGAAGACAACTTTGCAGATGAAAATTTACTTCAAATTTTCACACATGGTGATGTCTGTGGCATCTTTATCTTAATTCTCTTCCATTGGCATTTCTTAGAATTGTTAAAAATATCTCTGAATGAGCTTGTGGGTTAAATGAAGACATGTATTATGCTTGTAGAATGTCTTTTAGCACGTGTAAAAGCTTGCCACCTCAGGCTATGAAGTGTGTTAATTTGGTTGCAATTTGAATTCACCTTATGTTTTTCTTTCTTTCATTGCTTCCGTCTGGTGTGGCTGCTGTGCTGACAACTCTCCTCATCTCTGCTGCTGCAATTTTTTTGGTTGCATCATTAAGGAAACCTCCCAAGGTAGGCACCGATACAGAATTTGACGTGTTTACTTACTTAATATGCAAAGATCCAAGGTTTCATCTATCACAACAACCCATGTGAAACACCTCTCCCTGACAAGGAAAAGAACAGTCCAATGTTATTACTGAGATCCCAAACAAATGATATTGACAGTAATGTGAAATTAGAGTGCTACTCTATACATAACAACCCATATGTTATTCATTTTATGAATGAGTGTTCTTCTCTTCAGAGTAAATAGGTGTTATTTCTATTATTTCTATAATAAAGATGAAATGAAACCCAGAGAAATGGAACCACTATGGTAGTTCATATTGAGTGAGAGGAGAAGCTGGAACCGTATGCACCTACTATGCATTTGTTGACATGGTTTGTTTAGGATCAGATCTTTACGTATAATAGTTATTATGGAAAAATGGGGGATGACTACATCAGATCACAGTATAGGTCATTTGTATAACTGCAGTATCGTATCTTTACATCACTATCAAGTTATATCTTTACATATTATATCATTTAGACAGCTGCCAAACCACTGAGAAGCATGACTTTGACATGCTGACAAATAGTCTTATCCATCACACCAGTATTATTCTCGGCTCATGCATCATTAACATAGAATAGTAGAATTTATTTTTTTTTTACTGTTGTCAAAAATGTGAAATACCAAAGTCAAGATGGTTGAAAAGTGAGGAGTAGGTGCAGTGTTACCACCTTAGAATTGGAAGGGCAAAAATAATGTCATAGTTTGATAGTTTGGCAATTGTGATTATTGATCAGGTAAACTCTCTTTTATGTACTTTACTAAGAAGAGTTAAAATCATAAAAAAAAACTTGTCCAAATTCTTAGATGAATATTTAACTTCCTTCTGTCTCTGGGTATTCTATTTCCCAGCCCATCACAAAGTCCATGGGTTGCCATTGTCTACCATTGTTCTGATCAAGCTTTACTGCTGTGTTTACTAGTTTTGTTGTTGTTGTTAAGTGCCATCAAGTTTAATACTATTCATAGTGATCCTATGAACAAAAGATCTGAACCCTTTTGTGTCCTGCATCATCCTCATGCTTCCTAATACCCAAGAGCCATTGCAGCAGTCACCATGTCAATCCAATTTGAAATCCTGATGAAGATTATCCAGAAATGACTGGAACATTGACAGAGAACTACCACAAATACAAGTTGGGTTTAGAAGAGGCTGTGGCACTAGAGACATTAGTGCCAATGTCAGATGGATCTTGGCAGAAAGCAGAGTACTGGAGGAATGTCTGTTTGTCTTTCATTGACTATACAAAGGCATTTGATTGTGTAGATCATAACAAATTGTGGCTAACCTTGAGGAAAATGGGAATGCCAGAATACTTGATTGTGCTTATGCGAAAGCTATACTTGAACTAGGAAGCAGTCCTCAGAACAGAACAGGGAAACACTGCATGGTTCAGAATCAGCAAAGGAGTGTGTCAGGAATGCATCCTGTCTCTATACTTTTTCAATCTTGATGCAGAACATATCATTCAGGAAACAGGGCTTTATGAGGTGGAATGTGGCAGTCAGGAAATAAAAAATCTGCTGTCATGGACCTCTCTAGAGTACTGAAAAGCAATGATATCAGTCTAGAGACGAAGGTGTATCCAATACAGGCCATGATCTTCACAATTACTTGTTATGCTTCAGAGAGTTGGACGATGACTAAGAAGAATCAATGCCTTCAATTTGTGGTGCTGGAGAAGAATCTTGAACATGCCATGGACTGCCAAGAAAGCAAATAGGTCTATCTTGGAGAGGGTGAAACCAGTTTTCTCCTTGGAGGCGAGGATTATGAAGCTCCATCTCACATACTTTGGGCACGTGGGCAGGAGGGACTGATCCTTGGAGAAGGACATCATGCTTGGAAGGATGGAGGGACAGTGCAGGAGAGGAGGACCCCAGATGATATAGACTGATTTAATAACTGAAGCAATGGGGGTTGGTGTTACGGAATTAGTGAGACTGGCTCAGGACAGGACAGGGTTCAGAGCCGCTGTACATAGGGTTGCTATGGCTCACAGGTGACTCGATAGCACATAACAAAAATATAAGGCAAATCTGGAAAATAAAAGATAAACATGATATCAAACAAGCAGCACAAGATTATTTTTTTTAAAAAAAACCCATAATTCTTTGTATAAACATGGTAAACTTATGTGAAATGGAAAAGGTGTTTTTGGTGATGATCACATACACATGAGATTTTATTGATTTAAAACAATTAGATTTTTATCATGAATCACCAGCAAAAGAATCAGAGAAGACTGGCTGTTTGACTGTAAACTGATAATTATTCTGGACAGGGCACATATGCTGGATGAATAGACCCTCCCAGCCTTCTAAGGCAGGTGGAGAAGAAACAAGCAGACAATATAAAGCAGAGATTACAAAATTAGTAAGTGTGAAAATGGCACAGGAACATCTGTCATCTGTGTCTAACTTCACAAGGAAGGAGAATCAGCGTCAGCCCAAAGCTGGTTCCTATGATGTGGAGGTCAGACGGCCCTTCACCCTTTCAACCTTTTCCCCACTTCCAGTTCTGACACCAGCCATCCTCCATGTCATTCTCCACTTCTTTGCTGAGTTTAATAATTCATTGCAGTGGCTACACAAGGCCCACAGGCAATAGTCAGTTTTTTATCAGGGAAGTAACGGGTTATAACATGGAATCAGGATTAGTGGGAGGGGTGCGGGGGGATTGTATACCAAAGAAGGAATTTTTCTTCTGCTTTTCAAAGAGAGGAGAAAACTAGGGGGCCGGGGGAGGGCTGGGCAGGAAGTAAAGTGCAACAGTAAATGAATAGAAATCCAAAATCTCTGTAAACATATATTAAAATGAATAAAATAAAATTTAAAAAAAAGAAAGCAAATGGGCACAGCTTCTCTTCTTCAATACTGGACAGATCATCTTGGTCATGCAGCATTTCCTCTTCAGGACCAGCCTCCTCTTGTAGCACATGGTTCCTCTGGGGCCTCGCCTCTTCCTTCCTTAGACAACTGTTGGAAAGTTTTTTAACTCCACCAATAAATGTCCAAAGGCTCCACCAGTATTGCAACCAGTAAGACTTGGCCCAAAGACACTTGGCTCTCTTGCCCCATTGCTTGGAATGTTTAACTCTGCCAGCAAGCAAGCCTCTTCCCAAAGATGCTCAGCAGTCTCACTCCATGAATCAGTTTGCTTGCTGTAACCAGTTGCCTCTGTGGACTGGGAAACTCCTCTTGTACTGGTCTCCTGGGTCTGGGGCTGCTTCTTGTCCCATCTCAAAGCTCTTGGTCTCGGTTCTCAGAGCATGGACCCTGAGTGCAAAAGATAAATTCCACTCCTGTCTCTTCTTTCTTTATAGTTGTTGTTGTTGTGTACCATCAAGTCTGGACACATTATAACTGACCCTGCAGCAGGTTTTTCAGAGGGAGGGAACTGCATGGGAGATTGCTCATCCTTTTCCCATGGAGCAGCTGGTGGATTCAAACTTGGCACCTTTGGGATTGCCTTGCAATTTCTTACCACTAGGCCACCAGAGCTCTCTTCTTTTATAGTAATAATTGATAAAGCAATACCTTTTTGCTTTTGAGATTAGCTACCTTTAAGTTTAGCAGGGTGGCAAAACTTCTCCTTCTCAGAGTTCCAATACCTTATTTGGGCCAGCCCGTTTTATAAGTGTTCTTTGTACCTTATTTGCATTGTTAGCAGGCTGTTCAGTTCCTCTGATGGGCCATAACACTTTATTTGCATGGTTCTACCCAGTCATTTTGCATGAGTCACACAAAACATGGCTACATTAAATAATAGACTACATTGCTGTAAAGAATCACCCGATCAAGACACATGTGAAGATGGAAATTTAGAGACGAATACCTTGGATGTATCGTGAGAGAAGGATGGGCAATCTCCTTCCGTGCGATTAATTCCTTCTGAAAATCCACTGGAGGGTCAGCTATGAGTCAGTTCTGACTCCAATTGTAAAAAAAAAAATAAAATCAACAACCACCACCTTGGATTTTGGGGTATGGAACTAGCAGCTTGAAGTAAGAATGGTGTTTCTGACAGATTTGTGTAATTGAGAAGGCCTTATAGAACAAAAGTGTTAGAATTCAGGTCTACAATACCAAGAGTCCTTGGTATTCTCTTTGTATCTTAAGCCAGCGAGCTGATAAAGAATCAGCTCTGGATGAAGGACTTCTGTTGATCTAGTGTGTAATGTGTTGGGCTACTAACTGAAAGATTGGCTACTCAAACCCACCAACACGCAGCTCCTTGGGAGACAGGTGGCAGTCTCCATCTGTAAAGAATTACAGCTTCTGAAATCCATGAGACAGTTGCTCTGAGCTGGAATTGACTTGATGGTAGTGGGTGGTTCTTGCCTTTTCTGTCTTTTGAGTAAAATGGTAACCAGATGCATGCCAACCCTCACATGGATCTCTGTGTGGTTTCAAATACTTTGTATGCTCCAGGAAATCTTAAGCGCTAAAATTGGGTCAAAGTGATTTTGTAGCCTGTAAGTCTCTAATGATTCTATAGTCAGTTTTAAAAACATCATTCTAGGCAATAGCCAAGCATAATGAAGGCACATGAACAAGAACCAGCAGAAGTACTAGAAATATAAATAGACCCAAATATCCCAGAGGTTTAAATTACTAGACATGTGTTTTAAAATAATTAGGCATCTCTCTTAGAGCTAGGGATTTTGGACATTTCCTCATGTGCTTGTTAGCCATCTGAATGTCTTCTTTGGTGAAGTGTCTGTTCATATCCTGTACCCATTTTCCTACTGGATTATTTACCTTTATCTTGTTGTGGTACTCAAGTATTTTATAAATTCTGGATATAAGTCCCTTATCTGACATGTCATTACCAAACACTTTTTCCCAGTCTGTGGCTTCCCTTTTTACCCTGTTGGAGAAGTTTTTGGATGTGCATAGGGATTTGATTCTTAGAAGGTCCCATTCATCTATTTTATCTTCTTCTGGTTGT